TTATAAAAATATCTTCAGTATTTAATTATTTATGTTAGAAAAATATCTTCATTGTGTAAAATATCGCCTGGATCTAGCATTTTCCAAATTTAAAATAATTAGTCATTTGTTTAAGGTGTGGGGGTTGGGGGCAAGGTACAAGTTACTAAAAGGAACGGACGAGCGTTCGCCACGTGTCCTATGCACCAATCAGTGTTTAGTAGGCAGCAAGCGAGAAGTTACGTATTGTATTACAAGGCTAAAATATCAAATATGTATTCTAGGACTCCGGGTCCCACTAATTTTATTTCTTTCTAATTAATTAACCCAAACAAATAAATAATATTAAAATAAATAAATAACCCACTTGAGATTTATCGGCCCCACTCAGTACGCAAATAGCACATTTTTGGATGGCACACACACACGGTGTTGACAGTTATTAACTCTCCCAACGTTAGTTTTTTTTCCGTTTTTGGCCGGGAAGCAAGCGCGTGGACCACATGCGACAGGAATTGTGAAAGTAAAAGTTGAGAATTAATAGTTTATTTTAAGAACAACTTGGCTAATAATTGATGATGATAATTAAATAGAGATAGAGACACGTAAATATTTGTCTCTGTCCCCTTCTTTTCATATCATTTGGTCGTTTTTGGAAAAAAATATATTTTTTACTTTAAAATTTTCCTTAATTTCGTAATTACTACTCTTAATTTATTGAGTGAGAATAAATGATGAAACAATCACAGGTGCTTTCTTAGTCACTTATTATATATTCCATATGTTCCACAATAACTGTCTCTTTTTTAAAATATGTTTGTTCCATATTATCTGTCACTTTAGATTTTCAATACTGCATTAAATGCATTTTTCCTGTTTTAACCTTATAAATGAAACTTTAATCATTATTTTTCTCTTATAAATCATTCAATAACAAAGGTTGTTTTAGTCATTTCTATATGATTTTTCTAAAATCAAGATATATTTATTGAGTTTCTTAATCTTTGTGAAAATTGAAAAGAGACACCTATTTTTGAACGGAGGGAGTATTTATTAATTTTTTAATACATTTCCCGAAACTTCCGTTCTCGAAATTAATTTCGTTTGCTTATTCTCATTAATTTACTCTTTTCATTTTCTCATTTATTTTGGTTCTGAAAATAATATGTATTAAGGAAAAGACCGTCTGCATTTAGGCGGTATTTGCAAAAGCTTATTTAAAAGCAGAAGTTATATATTATGGGTTAAGCTGGTTTTAAATGCTTATTTCTAAAAGTTGAGAGTAATTGCAAATTTACCGAAAAAATAAACTTAAATTGAAAAAACAGGATCACAGACGCTTAACAAATTATAGCTTAAATCTACTTATTATAAGGGAAGCAAAATACAAAAATTTATTTTATAGACAATTAAAAATATATTATGAATAAAAAAAAAATTCATAATCTATTTTAATTTTTTTTCCAAGCATCACCTTACCATTTGAAATTAAATAATCACTCATTTGGGGGTGGGGTCATGTCTAGAAGGGGTAGGGTACAAGTCACCAAAGCAGTGGACGCGCATTCGCCACGTGTACTTGTACTATGTATCAATCAGTGTTCAATTAGTAGTACTAGACAGCAGGTGAAAACTAGAAGTTTCCTCTTTACTTTGCCTACAAATAAATATATAATAATAATAAACATATTAATCAACTTGTTAATTAATTATTAGTGTAACGATAAAGTTCGGGCATGGCAAATTGGTAATTTAAGAAACAAACAAAATAGCACTTTTTGAGATGACGTAAGATAACTTGACCAGATTCACAGCACACGGTTTTGATAGTTAATAACTACCATGGTTGGTGATTCCTTTTTCTTTCAACGGAAATGGGACAACGTATTGGAGATATTAATATTAAATGATACATTTTACTAACAGCTTAAGTTTTTGGTTGAGATGGTCATTTAACATGGTATCAGAGTCAGTCCAAATGAAAGCTCCTGAGTTCGAATCCTACTGCCACCCATTTAAAAATATTTCAAGTGCAAGGCTTCAAATGTAATCCCCCTACACTTGAGGGGATAATAGTATTTCACCATTTCACCACTTATAGGAAATGAGATTTGGTTTGGTCTCCCATATATGCCCCAAAAATGTAAATCTAATGTTAATCGTAGTTTTATAAGATTTTATTTGCTAAATATTAATTATAGATCCAATGCTAAGTCATAAATTTTATTAACTATATAATTTAAAAATTATGTTATCATTCTATTAAATGTCTATAAATATCTCGTCCTGTAATTGATCAATTAAAGTGTGCTTCGTTAATTATTCTATTGTTGCTTATTATAATATTTTATTAATAGCAATTAGCGTATTAGTTAAGTAAAGAAATGAACTAATAAATATTGATACCAACAAAATATACAAATTAATTAAAAATAAGAATATTTATATTATTAGAATCAATGTTTTGTTAATAATAACAAATGTATTTATATTTTAAAAACTAATTTAATAATTAATACTAATGTATTTACGATAAATATGCTAATAAGTTGGTAATCGGGTGCAATTAGTTAAAATCGTCATTTTATATGGTACTTAATAAAATGATGTTAATTACGGCAAATCCTATTTTCACCTCTATATTTGGTAGGAAAAATAGAATTTGGTGGAAAAAAATAGGTAAAATGGTGGACCGATGGGAGATGAAAATTCCTTCACCAAAAAAATTGGTGGAAAAATAGGATTTGAGTATTTGGTGATATGGGGGTTGACTACGGTGGGAGGCTAAAACCAAATCACTATAATTTTAGGTGTAATGGTGATTTAGGAATTTCGAGTGGGAAGCTAAAAACACATAAATTAGATGAAAAAATGGTGTTATGGCGTCCGGTCGGAGATGCCCTAAATCATCTATTTTGTTATGTGGTTTCATTAATAGACCATCGTAATGATATATTTGACTAACGTATCAAATCGAATATTAGACATCATAAACTATTGAATAACCACCTCATCAAGTGAAGACGAATTACATATTTACATTTAAAGTCTTGCACTTGAAATATTTGAATTGAATGGTGGTGGGATTTGAACTCAAGACCTTTCATTTGGTCTGACTATGATACGATGTTGAATGACCACCTCAATCAAAAGTTTAATATATTAGTGAACTGAAATGCATCATTTAATATTAATATATCCAACATAAACAATACATATCGACTATATATATAAAAGAAACATAGTTATTTTATTATTGGATTATCTGAATCATGTAATCAGTACGTAGATTGTCACACATATAACAATATTAACTCGATGGAAGGAAAATAGTGGCGATTCCAGAGGAGACGACTTTAGCGGAGGCGCGGGAGATGGAGTAGCCAGACTTATGCGATTTTGTGTTGGGAAAGATAGATAGATAATCGTGCGTATCCAATCTAAAAGGATGTAGTATTTAAACTACTTAAATAGAAAAATTAGGATTGAGCACGTCCCTATTATTTTAATATTCTGGGGGATATATCTAAGAGCCAAAAATGAATATGTAAAAACAAAACTTGAACAAACTTAGGTTCATGGTTTATTTTAAAACGAGTTATTTTCGAACAAACAAAAGCGCAATCTAATTTTAATAAAAAAAAAATGAACTATAGGCCAAAAAAAAATGTAATAATTTGTTTCAAAATATCTTATGTAAATAATCCACATATGACATGCATGGCCCCATGATTGACTAAAATCCACAATTGTGTGGAAATAAATGTAAATATATATAATGTCATTTTCTTCAAACTTTCTAATTATTATTACAAGAAAAAAAAAATTAAGGGTGGAGAGCTAAAGAAGATTCCTCTGTACGGCAAAATTTGTAACCATGTAAAGATGTTGGGGTGGGGGGTCCTATATGAATTGGTTTTGGGACCTTTTGGTACTAAAGAGTTTTGACTCTTTGATTTGTCATTGGGTGCAATTTTAGTACAACGAGTATCGATTCTTAGAATGATTGGCCTGAATATTTGATGTGTAGATGCATGAATCACTTGAATATAAATACATGGCCGAAATTAAATTAACCATATATGTATGAGATTCCGCCACATCATCGTGATCAATACTATGTGATCGATATTTACATGACCAATACTTTGTGTTAGATATTTTCGTGGGACAGTTGGCTTATATTTACGCAAATCTCTCAAGACAAGACCCCACTTAAAAAGTACAATTTCCACACTTACTCGATATATCAATTTGGGCTGCACTAGTTCACCAATTACTTTTCGTATTAGGTTACCAAAGAGGATCTAAAGCCCAAACACACCTACAATTATTAAGTTAATGGTTCGATTTCATTAGTTTAATAGTATAAGCCCACTAGGGTTGTTAATCCTACTTGGAGTTACTAGCTAACAAGGATTCTACTTGATTTAATTACAAATAACCATCTATAGCTCAATTTTACCAAAGTACGCAATAATTTACTGAGTTTTCTAGAATTTTCAGTGACTTGTTTACCTATTCGTTTAAATCACTGATTTGACTGTCGAAGTGGATTCACCGGACCAACTCTCTATCTAGCTTACACGTACTCACCTCACATTCTTATATGAAAAGATTATACAACATCAAAATTGAAATAGCTTTATAGTTTATAAAGTAAATTCTAATACAAAAAGTGTTAAAAGGACTGAAGGAAGAAATGTATCTTTTTTTTTTTTTTTTTTTTTTTTTTTGAATAATATCTTAATGCAACATTATTTCACATTAATATTTAATTTGTCATGTCGCTGTCCAACACAAGCGCGTGATATTGAATACATTAATTTTTCGCGCGTGGACAAGATTATAAATCATAGAAGAAATCCAAATTTCAAAGGTGTAGCCCCTACATTTGCCCCCCCTGCCCGGCTGCCCGACTTGCCCCGAAGGATTCAATAATTAGGAGGAAGGTCAGTCAGACAGTGTACTGTCCATTTCAATTATTTGTTTCTTATAGTTTCTAATTATTTTCAACTCTCTAACAAAATATCCATACATATATATACGTGTCAAAATGTATTTACATTTAATTTGATACACCTAGAAATTAAAAGGAGTAACTCCATAACGACACGTCAGCATCCATTTCCACGTCATCACTATAGTACTGATGATGAGGTGGAGGCATCATCATCAACCCCTCCGCCATGTCAGCCACCAGCCCGTGCATCCCATACATCATCACTTCCTCATCATCCATAAAGTACATATTATTTTCCGGCGACGCCGCCGCCGCCATATTATAAGCGGCGGCGGCGGCGGCGGCTTCCTCCGATGCTACTGGTGTCTGAGGAGGACGGAAAGCCTCCGCCGCCTCCGCTGCCGCCTTCTGAATGTCCTTAGCATCCGCGGAAGCCGGCACAGGCAACCTCCACGAGGAGTCGGCGAAATTTAGGCAGGCCGACCGCCCTTGTAATGCGATCGCCGCCACGTCGTGCGCACGCGCCGCCATCTCCGCCGTGGGGAAAGTCCCGAGCCAGATCCTGGATTTCTTATTGGGCTCCCTCACCTCGGAGACCCACTTCCCGGAGTCCCGCCGCCGCACGCCGCGGTAAACAGGGTGGCGCGTCTCCCGGAACTTCTTCCGGCCGGCGCGTTTCTTGGGATTATTCGAAGCTAAAATCACCTCCTCTTCGTTTCCGGATGAAGATTGAGGCATCAGTATTAATTCATGATGTTCCACATGGGGAAAAGGGTCTGAATAAAAAGTTGTGTAGATCTCCATTTGAAGAACACAGAAGAGTCCAAAAAAGCACTTTTTAGAAGCTTTTGGGGTTGTTTGCTTATTTTGAGTAAAAGTCTAAAAAAGTATGTGGTGATGAATAAAATATAAGTTGCACAAGTTGGTTATATAACTTATAAGCTGACCTTTACGTTTAGGACGCGATTTCCAGACACGGAAATGGTGATAAGAAGCCAGGCTGGCTGGGGGTTTTGCCCACGGGTTGTACTTTTTCAAGATAAGATTAATTAATTAATTAATTAAGTTTTAGAGGGGGGGGGGGGAGGGTACAAGCAATCAATGCAGTTCAGTGGTCACGCTTTCAGCACGTGCACCATAGTCAAGACTCAAGACTGTAATATATATATAGACCAAGTAGTGAGGTTTGGAAAAAGAAAGTTAGTTGTGTCAGTACAATGAATCAGATCAGCTTTTATATATCACCGATTTCAAATTTCAATTTCATAATATTTAAAGTTAGAAGTTGGTGATTATAGTTAGAAATTGAAAATAATTGTATATTTCTAAATGTTATAGTTTTTTCAAAATACTTATGCTACATGGACACGGATACGTGGACACGGCGATACGCGGATACGGACACGGTGATACGGCATTTCCAAAAAACTAGGATACGGACACGTGGGGATACGCGTAAATATTAAAAATATAGGGGGTATATTTATAAATAATAGGGTAAATTACAAACACCCCCCTGAGGTATGGTCAAATTACAAAAACACCCCTCTTGTTTGGATAATTACAACCACCCCCTCAACTCTTCAAATATAGTGGAATCTTCGAGATTATATAGAATATTATCACTTTTGTACCCCTTTTATCTCATTCAAACTCTACATTATGAAGCAAGATGATCATAATATGTGATTTTTAGCTTGTATATATCAGTTTGTGGTGCATCGGAAACTGTATTTTTTACACAAAACGAGTACAAACTAGAGCGCATTTCACGGAATCTAGATGACTATGTTGAATTTGGCACCATAAAGGTGGAGGTCTAAGAAAAAATCATAGTTGAGGGGGGTAGATGTAATTATCCAAACATGAGGGAGATTTTTGTAATTTGACCATACCTCAGGGGGGTTTTTGTAATTTACCCTAAATAATAAAAATATAGGGGTACATTTATAAATTATAAAAAATATGTATAAGTCGTCATCGCATAAGAGAACAACTCGCCCTTGTTGCTCGTATTCTTGATCGCCGTCGCATGCTAGACTTTTGGAGTTTTGGGTGGACTCACAAAGAAAACAGAGGAAATGTGTATTACAGAGAAAAGAAAATGCGCATTTTTTTGGGCTAAATACAGTTTGCACCCTTAAACTATAGGGGTGGTAACACTTACCCCCTTAAAGTTACAAATGTAACACTTACCCCCCTCATTAATGAATTTAATGATAAAACTTTGACTTTAAATGATGTGGCTTTTTTTCTTCCCAAATTGTCCTTCTAGCTATTATATTGATGCATATATAATAAAATATTTTCAATAATATTTCAAAAACTAAATTTTATAAAATATAATAGTTATTAAAAAAATATTTTGATTTATGTTTAACTCTACATTTTAGTTACTATAGATCCTAATATAAATAAAAATCTCAATATAATAAAAAATATATTAAATACGTTAAACATTTGCAAGAAAAAAAATATTTTCAAGACTTAAATGGCCAATTTTTTTATGATAATTATTGATTTGAAAATTTATTGTAGTTACTTAAATATAAATTTTAATAAAATAATATTTAAATATTTAGACGTTAAATTTCTTATTAACTTTTGAATACATTTTGTGATTCTCAAAGTAAAAAGTGGGATAATTATATTAGAGTCATATACGCATTAAAATAACTATATAAACTATAAAATCATAATGAAAATTCGAATAATCGTTAACTTTTTATTAGCTACAAATGAACACAAGATAAAACAAAAATACACTAAAATTCAATTTTTTTCATTCATAAATTTACAATATTATTAAAATAATAAAATTAAGTTTTGGCAAAGTTGTTGAATTTTTTATTATTACATATTCATTATTTATTTAATGGCTAGAAGGACAATTTGGGAAGAAAAATGCCACATCATTCAAAGTCAAAGTTATACCTTTAAATTCATTAATGAGGGGGGTAAGTGTTACATTTGTAACTTTAAGGGGGTAAGTGTTACCACCCCTATAGTTTAAGGGTGCAAACTGTATTTAGCCCCCCATTTTTTTTATTAGGGCTCTCTCTTAAAATGTAAGAGAAGTGTCCCAACTTTTTTAAAATTGTGGACACTGCCCGACACGGGTGTCCTACTTTTAGCGAAATTACGACACGGCCCGACACTGGTATCCGAGAAGTGTCCGGGTGTGTCCGAGTGTCCAAGTGTCGGATTCGGGGACTCTTCACCTTCTAGAAGTGTCCGTATAGCATAACAAAACACTATTAAAATTAACTTTGAGCAGTTAACTTTTCTGAGGCCTCCCTGCTAGAGGCGTGTTTCGATCATGCTCATAAAATTTGCCTAGGGTCCCGAAAATTCTTGAAACGGGCCTGATTACATCATATTGTTGTTATGTTTTTTGAAAATTTCACTAAAAAGGTTGGATTAGTATATAATTAAAAAAGACGTAACATTAAGCACAAAAAAGTTGTGTCGATATGTTTTTCAAATTATGGGGGGTAAAGAAAGTTCATTTTGAGAGAAGCAAATGTCAAAATTGCATTTACAATGAGGAGAAAAAACTTGAATTACTTTTTAAAAGTTTTTGCAAATACCACCTTAATAGTATATTGATTTTAATATACGTGACAATTAATCGGAACAGTTTAACTTTTCTCTCTTTTTATTCAATTGTCTTTTATCCTTTTTTTTAATTAAATTTTCGTTTTTGGTGCGTTGCTCCGCAAATTTTGTCTTTCGAGTTTGAATTCCCTGACCAGCACATTTTAAGTTAAATTTGTCACTTATTGTACCGCGGGAATGAAAATTTACTCCGTTACATCTATTTTGTTAGTCACTAATCATTGAAAACGCTCAAATTAATTTCATTTTTTAGTTTTGTTTATACGTATCATCAATTACATTAGCCAAGACCAAATTTTTGGAGAGTCCCTCTTGTTCATACGTCGTTCATCTTTATATATAATAGAAAACAACCCCAAGTATATCCTATATTGAGATACGAAAGAAATAAAAATAATTAGAAAATTAGTAGTCAAGAAAAATAAAACAAAAACAATTATATAAATGTTATTGGAGTTTTGGTTGTTGAGCATGATAAAGAGAGAGAGAGAGAGAGAAAGAAAATTAGTAAAGAAAGAAAAAAAAAATTATTTATTAATTGCTTCATTTATTTAAGGGTAAATTACAAAAACCCCCCTGAGGTATGGTGAAATTACAAAAAAACCCCCTCTTGTTTGGATAATTACATCTACCCCCCTCAACTATGATTTTTTCTTACATCTCCACCCTTATTGTGCCAAATTCAATATAATCATCTAGATTCCGTGGAATGTGCTCTAGTTTGTATTCGTTTTCTGTAAAAATACAGTTTCCGATGCACTACAAACTGATATACACAAGCTAAAAATCACATATTATGATCATCTTACTTCATAATGTAGAGTTTAAATGGTATAAAACGGGTACAAAAGTGATAATATTTCATATAATCTCGAAGATTCCACTAAATTTGAAGAGCTGAGGGGGTGATTGTAATTATCCAAACAAGAGGGGTGTTTTTGTAATTTGACCATACCTCAGGGGGTGTTTGTAATTTACCCTTTATTTAACGATCAATTGACAATAAGTCTATATAATCTTTTGTGGAGTGGGTTTGTATTATCATATTTGTATGAATATTAATGTTGTTAATCTAATTTATTATAATAGTGTATTATGTTTCTTATTATAATTATTATCATATATTAAATTAGTCATTTTTTCACCTTTGAAATGCAATCTCGTGCATCGCACGGGAAAAAAATACCAATTTAAATGTTAACACCATTACCGTTGCCACACTCGATCCGTTTATATATGCTCATACGTTAAAAAATAAACTTTTAAGGTATTTAAATTATAAATATAGAGTTGTTTTTTAAAATATAATGTGAATAAGATATGTGAATAAGATATCATATTTTGAGTTCATCAGACAAAAGCCCATTGACAAAATATAATGTGAAAATTTACGATTTGTGATTTGAAAAACTATTTAATATGGAAAAAAATAATTCAAGAAAAGGTATAATAGTAAATTCATTATATTACATTAAATCACCCTGAAAGATGTTACTTTAAATGCTAATTTGAGGCACAGATCTTCCAAATTAATAATAAACAATTTTATTTAATTATTTTTTTCTTTTTTTAGGAATAATAAACAATTAAACATCATGAAAATTCAAATTTCCCCCCTTCAAATTAAGCACCCTCCAAATTTTAATTTTCATCTGAATTTTTTCTATAAATGGAAATAAATAGAGTGGGAAAACAAAACTTAAAAAGTGGCAAAATAAAATATTTAAGACACAACCTGCAAACTGTCATATAAAATCTCACAAGGCTTTATTTCTCTTGTGCTTTATTTCTTACTTGTGTCACTCATCTTTGTATTTATTCACAGTTGACCTAAGTGCATATATTCCTCTTTACAATTATACAATTCATCATTTGTCAACCCCTTTTGACAAAAGATTAAAACAAAAAAAAAATATTAATAAATAAAAGGCATGGAAGGTGAAACAGTTTCTTCTCAATCAAGAAAATCGTTCGACACCGTTTCCATTTTGGTTGTGGACGACGATTTAACTTGTCTCGCTATCGTTGCTGCTATACTCAAGAAGTTCAAGTATGAAGGTATAAACAATTTTTACGTTTATCGATTTTTTGATTTCGGTTGTCCCATATGTTTGCATGAAAAACTAGTAAGCTTTATCTCGTCTTTTTTTTTTATTTTTTTTTATTTCTTGTGTGATTTATAAATCTTCATTTGTTCTTTAAACATCTCCATTTTTAGCCTAATTTGTTTTATTTTTTTTTATTTTGTATTTTTTTTTTATTTCGGAACCAATCGAACGACATTTTCAAGATTCTCGTGAAATTGAAATGTAAATCTTGTCTATATACAATCATTAATTGAAAAAAGTTTCTTCTATATAAATCATAATAGATTTGTTTTTAAAAAAATTAATTTTACCATTAGTTCTAATTATGGTTTATTAATTCTGCAGTTGTGACAGTGAAACACCCAAGTGATGCTTTATGCACTCTCCGAATAAAGGGAGGCGCGTTCGATTTGGTCGTATCGGATATTCACATGCCCGATATGAACGGATTCGAATTACAACAAGTCATCACACAAGAATTCCATTTGCCTGTTGTTTGTAAGTTTTTTTTTACCTATATTTATTTCATTAATTATTCCAAATATATAGAAACAATTTTTTTTTTTTTTAATTTTCAATCTAATTAATCCTAATGTTATGTGTGTGTGTGTGTTTTGGTGTGACGACACAGTGATGTCAGCGGACAATAAAGAAGGCGTAATTTCGAAAGGGTTGGAAAACGGGGCTGCGTTTTTCATATCAAAGCCAGTCACTCCAGACGATTTAAGGAACTTATGGCAATTCGCATCGACTAAAAAGAAGACTAGTAGTCGAGTCGTTATTAACGATATAACAGGATCGGATTACGATTTATTCCAACCTCGAGAAATAATTAACTCGAACGACAAGAATCGTTCGGACGAAAAACCTGTGTTCGTTGTCTCTGCTTCGACTTCGAACAAAGACATTAGCCATAGCAAGAATCCAAAGAGAAAAACACAAACGAAAGAGGATTCGGATAACGATGAAGAAGAACAAATCGGAAACAATAACAATGCAGCTTCGACAAATAAAAAGCCGAAAATTGTTTGGACTGATTCGCTGCATAATCGTTTCTTGGAAGCTATTAGAAGCATTGGCCTCGACAGTAAGTATTAATAATAAATTTAAATACTATACTTAACGGTGTTCGATATATTATACGTCACATTTGTACCATTTGTTGCGTTTATTTAATTTGTTCGTGTATATATAGGATCTGTCCCGAAGAAAATTCTCGAGGAAATGAACGTGCCGGGATTAACTAGAGAAAACGTAGCAAGTCATTTGCAGGTATGTGTGCTTAATTAAGTATAAATGTGCCGGGATTTGTTCGATTTTTGAATTTTTTTAAGTTTTATTAATTTTACTTATGAATAATGCAGAAATACAGAATCTTCTTACGACGAGTTTCGGACGCAAGCTCGAAAATTAGCGGAGTCGATGAAAAGGGTTTATTAAGCAGGAGCGGTATAAATCGATACAGCAAATACCAATTTTATCATCATCGTCAAAACCTCGGAAATTTCGATTTTCCAAGTGGCCTTAAAATGCAGGCTCAATCAAGATTCGGACAATCCCATCTAATTTCTAGTAACCGAAGTTTGTTCCAACCGAATATCGGTCCTAACAATCGTCTATGTGGCGGAATCGCACAGCGAAATAATTACGAGGCGGGCCCGTTACTATTCCCGGGGAATCTTTCCAGTGCCTGGGAGAATCCGAACATTCTTACGCCTCGAAACAATGTTGTTTCTTCGATCCCGTCGACCAACTTTTCGGACCGAACGAACTTTGTGGGGTACAATATATCGAACATCAAACACCTTGGCGAGGGATATTCGAGAAGCTGTAATAATATCGGAGAGTACGATAATCGGGGCGGACCGGAAATTAACGGCAACGGTGAATTTCAAAACAACAACAACATTAATCTTGAGCAATTAATGGATGTTGTTAATGGTGGAGAGCAATTATCAGATGTTGTTAATGCTAATCATGATCATCAAGAAAATCTGATGCCACCTTTTCTTGGAATTAATGAAGGAATTATTAGTGAAGGGCAAAATGGGGATTTGTCTGATGTATTTAGTACTCCCATTTTTCATCAGCTGCCTGAATTTGATGATACTACAACAGCCAATCAGTTATTTGCAGATCAACTGACCATCCAAAATAAGCTGCCACAGCAGGTACTTTTGTTTATTTCATTCAACACCCCTGTGTTTTCTTTAATTGCTAAAAGATCCCTCTATTTTATTTTCACAGCAAAATACCCCTGTAACTCATTTTTATTACTAAAAATACGCTAGTTAGGGGTTGTGTGCTAAAAAATATATTATAAGGGGGGTTTTAGCAATACGATATAACACAGGAGTACTAAATGCAATAAACTTTAAATTATAATATATATATTCAATGAATTTAAATTTTTGACAGGGAAAAGGAGGTGAAAATATTGCAAGTACCAGTTTATATGGAAGCACGAATAATCGGGGCAACGATGTTTCATCTTACGATCAAGCTCCCGATCAGGCAAGTTACAATTTTTATTTTTTTTATGTTATTGATTAGATTTAAGAGTTTTCACCAATATTTTTTTTATAAATATATTAATTGAATTTTGTTTTAGAAAATGGGGTTTTGTAAAATTAATTAATCTTTAATTATGATGTCATTTTGTTGCAGCGTGACGACGATGATTTTCTGGCATCTTTACTTGCATTTGGCACATTTGGAGAAGAACAGCAATTTGATGGAATCTAATTTCAGCAAAGTTATGAATTAAACGAAAATTGTTGTATTTTACCAAATTTATATTGTATGTCTACATTATATTAACTGCAACACAAATTATAATTTATATCTTTTTTGTGTTGAATGTAAGTTGTACAAACGATACCCTTAAGTCGAACCCAGTGAGTACTTTTGATATTGACCTTCTAGATTAAATTATTTGATTGTGAACGTTCACTCCCTATACTTAAACTCTCTCCTTTATTTAACCATAACTCATTTGAACTGTGCTACTTCTCTCTCTCTTCCGATTCCCCCTCTTTGCCATCAATCCCGTCTTTTTTGTATATGGTTGACCGTTGATTTCGTGCCTATTTATACTGTCCTTAAAAAAAGGGATAAATGTACACTGTACTGTTCACATCTGTGAGTTTTCTTCTTTCAATCTCCTTCTTCTCTGAGTGATTGAAATTCTTAGCCAGAGAAAACTGGAGTTTGACTAAGCATTTGAAACTCGTTGTCTGATTGACTGTAGGCTACTAAAATACTACCTAATGGAGAGATTGGAGAGATGACAAAACCCTGATCGAGTAAATAGTTCTACGAACGAATGGATCGTATCGACTTGGAAAATGGAAAAATTTGTACAAGTTATACGTTTCGTCACCACTTTGTGGAAAATCATTAGGTATGAATATGTTAGATACCTGTGACTCGATTGGTGAAATAGTATCTTTCCCCCCAAAAGAATGTTTTTTTTACTGACGCACAAAGAAAATATTTTGTTGCGAATGAACAAGATATTGAGTTCCACTTTGCATCATATCTAAGGGATTCCTCGGTTCAGGCCGAAGAAGCAATGTAACTCGATGGATTTGTTTCTGTCTTTTGTTGAATTTTTTTCATGGCTCGATAGATAATTTCATAAGCCAATGATTTTTTTCCGTGTTTCAGAATACGGTTAACCAAGCCATTTGGGGTGTGAGCTTGAATGTGCGTTGGGAGCTTCGATCGTAGGACTAACTGAATCCTTCCTTCTTCTTCTTCTATTGAGCAACCCGAAAGACTCTTTCTTTTGAGTCTCGAGTTTCAGATATTGATTTGCTTACAAAATTGACTTCTATAACACTAGTGGGCAGATGTGCTATGTGTTGGTGAGTCAACTCAGTGTGAATATTGAGTTACATCTAAGTTTTCTTGAGTTGAATGGTTAAGCTTGGTGTTTTTTTTTCTGATTGAAGTCGCCACCATCTTGAATTTATAGATTGAACTCTACACAATAAAGGACTGGGCTGTTTAGAAACAATAAAAGTCTCATGTGTTGGAATTACAATTGTTTGTCTATCCCTTTCTCTCTTTTTCTTTTTCTGAGTTTCTGTTTTATGTATCATTTTGAACGAGCACCAACATGTAATAGACTTTAATATTTGAAGTTCCAAAATGGTTAGGGAGATCTACATTGTTGATGAACAAAATGAAAAAAGTAACACAATATACATGGTAAAGGAAAAGGCCCATTAAATATGGGCTATTCTTTCATATTCAGCCGGCCTCGGCTTTTAGATCGATTTGGGCCATCAATTTAATTATATATAGGGCAAATTTGAATTAAATTTTAATCAGAATTTTTCCGATTTTAGAACAATATTTACGTTACTTAATAAAAGAATACAAAAGGTTGAAATATAATAAGGTTTTCCATTATATAATAGCTTAACCTTTTGAAGTGAACAAGTGATGATCATGTGCAGTAATTAAAAAGCAAAATATATGACATGATCTATGTATGGCATTGTAGTACAGGATACATACACATATTCTGAGTTGGTCATTTTATATTGTTACAGTTTTATTAATAAAATCGTGCTTCGCACACACGCTTCTTCCTTAGCTGCAAATAATATTGAATTCCAGCAAACAGTCAGTCCCTACATGCAAATTAGTGATAGTGAATTCTAACCAATCAAATTCCATCTATGAAACTTTCAAACTCCCTTTGCCAAAATCAATGATATGGATATTGCCAGCTGGATTGACAAGATTTTTTTTAGGGGGGTGGGGGGTGGGGGTAGTTATTACTTATTAGATATCCCTCTATAGTCCATGTTCAGTTTTGTCCTGATGCACCCTCTGTAGGAAGCAAGGTATAAAGAAAAAAAATCATTTTCTTTTCTCAATAATTGCCCTCAATAAAAACTCAATAAATCCAACATTTAACCACGATTGACCAGCTTTAATCATTATTCTCAAGTCTCAAAAATTAAATTAAAAAATAAAAAAAATTAAGTACAATTTATAACTTGTGTGCTTAGCACAAAACATTACAAGTAGAGACCAGTTCAATGGGGATATTAAGGTAATATCCAGCCACCCCTTGTAAACATCCCCATTTATTTCTCACCACATTCAAAAAAAAAAGAAAAAGAAAAAAGCAAATCTAACAAAATTCTAAATACATAAAGAAAAGCAAAAAGAAAAAAAGAAAAAGGGAAAGAATGGTAGAATAGACACCAAACCAACTCGAAAAGAAAACGAAGAAAAAAAAATCGAATATTGCACATTTATTTCAATCTATGGCCAACTCAAAGCAAATCCCATGTAAAACTAGGTTGCGGCCGATGAATTGGTGCGGCTGATGTTGGAGGGGCATCAAACGTTTCCCATTGTGTCGTAATTACCACATTGCCCCCCGAGGACGAACGCCTCGGTTGATACTCCTGCTTATGTGGCGAGTCGATTAAAGATTCCCCAAACGAATGCCTTGCTTGTTGATCTTGAACTGGGGATAAAACGGGCGGAGCCCCGTTTGAGCTCCTCTGTTTCTCAACGGGCGGAGCCCCGTTTGAGTGCTTTTTGTGTAGTTGAACGGGCGGCGGAGCCCCGTTTTCGTTGCTAGTTGGAACTGAATTCTTCAGCTTCAACACATCAAGAGTCTCAACACACTTCTGTATTCTTGTCACCTTTTTTCGAATTATTCACATCAGTAATATACAACTAAATAAAATCAATTCTAATAGTTACAATAATTGAAAAAAAGAAAAAAAGGGTACCTGCATTTTCCTCTGTAATTTGACATCACCATCAACAACGATGATTCCGTCCAATTTAAGCAATTGATTCATCAACAACTCGATCAATTTGACGACGTCCTTTTCGACCACTTTCTTGCCTTTAGAAACTATAGATTCAAGTGCCGACACCTAAAATAATCAACCGAATCGAAACAAATTTTAAATAATTTCAATTACCTAGCGGCTTCATTCGAGTATACGGTCCAAAAAAAAAAAACCAACCTGTTGGGCAAGTTTATCGACCTCCGAGCTGATTTCGGATACCGTTTTGACGGCCTTTTCCATTTTCACATTCTTCCTCATCGCTAAAATACGTTTTTCTTGGCCGATTGGATCTTCTTGTAACACGATTTTGGATTTGTCTTTTATTCCTACAGTGTCTAGGAATGATTTGTTATCCCTCTCTTTATCCTTGTAAAATAGCTTCTGATCTTCATGGTGTAATCCCGTGGGCCCGGATAACATTTTCTTCAATTCCCCTTTAATATTAATAATAAAATAAAAAAATTCAGAAAAAATAAAAGAGGAAAAAATCACAATTAAAAATTGAGAGACTGAGAATTTTACCAAAACTGGCTTGAGAGCTGATACGGATTTCATGGTAAATGGACGCGTGTTTGACACGCACGCGTATTGTAGGTGGTGGTGCACGCGCCTGGTCTCCGTCGGTGCGTTTCTGGACTAGCATTCCGCCGGGCCTCAGCTCCCATTCCTTCTCGGCGGCGGCTCCGCCGCCGCCTCTCCCGCCGTTGGATTCCGGCGGCAACACGTCGTTCTTAGTCCTCATTGGCATCATTTCCGATCAGACGGAAAAATCACCGCCGGAAAAAAAAAAGGAGGGGGTGGAATTCCGAGAGGATTTCAGAACTGAGTGAGAGTTGATCTACAAGTTTCAGCCATAGATATAAATCAGAAAAACCAGACACAAAAAACCAAAAGAAGACGAGAATCAATTTTGCGAAAAGGGCCAAAAAAATTAACAAACTTCTGAATCTCAGAAGTACACGAATACAACACTGTTTCCACGCGTCCATACGGAGAATCTTAATCTCAAGGAGTTAACTATCACGGCATTAACTGTATCTAACAGCAGGAAAAAATAACAGTAAAGTAAATTGGGGGAAAATAAAAAAATCAAAAAGTCAAACCTTAATGCGGCGGAGAGGAGACTCCGGCGGATTTGACTGCCGGAGGAATGGCTTCAATTGCGTAGGCCGGAGCCGAATTGCAAATTGGGGATGGAAGGAAAAATAAATTCAGATCTCTTCCTACAATAAGGGCACGAATGTAGAAAGCGTCAGATTTTTGTTGCGTGAAATCTGCCACGAATATCGACTCTGCGAATCTTGTTGCCGCCGATTGAAATTGTCACACAAAATCAATTTCTGCTTATTAAAATCAATAGCCAGTAGAAAAATTAAGCTAATTTTTTTTTTTTTGAATGCTCTCACTTTCTCTCTCTATCTCTGCAGCGAGGCTGGAGAGAGAAGATTCGAAGAAGGGGAGAAGACGGAGGAGAGAGAGAGAGAGAGAGAGAGAGGTGTTGGATATAAAAAAATTGTATGGACAGCGAACAGAACAGAACATTGAGCTCAGATTATATATTATTTTTTATAATATTATATTTTTCTTTAATATGTAGACTTTTCTTTTTCCTTTTTTTTTTTTTTTTTTGATAAATAAAATATATAGTATGTAGACTTTCGTGTAATCAAAGAGAATAAAATTATTTGTGCAAATAAAAAGAGAGAATTAAATTAGGAGTATTGCGTTAAGCAAAGTACTAACAAGGAAAGCCGCCAATATATATATATATATGCATGTGAAAGTAAATTGGTAAAAGCTACGCCCTTATGTAATGTTAAATTACGAAAAAACTCATCTCATTTGGGTGATTATAATTTAATCCGTTAACTAGGAGTGCTTTTACTCTTGTACCCTAGTGATGTCAAATTTAGTGAAATTTTCTAGATTATGTGAAATATTCTTCAATTTGTACCCGTTTTACCTCGTTCGAGCTTCACATTTTGAAATAAGATGATGAGACGTGTCTTTTGGCTTGTAAATATCAAATTGTGGTGCATTAGAAACTGCATATTTGCACAAAACTAGTACAAATTAGAGAACATTCCATAAAATCTTGAAGATTCTGTTGAATTTGATACCATAATAGTGGACGTGTAAGAAGATTCATAGTTGAGAGGAGTGATTGTAATTACCCGAACATGAGGGGATTATGTAGTTTGACCTTAACTCAGGATGTGGCCGTAATTCACCCCTTCACAATATTATATGCAAAGGAAAATGTTAATTTCTTTACTAACTTTCTTAATAATTTTCCTTTTTTTTTTTTTTTGCTATATTACAATTTTTACACATGGGTTTCGGATTTCGAGTTTTGGGTGCAAAGTTTCGATTTTCAGGATTTCGGGTTTCAGGGTTTCAATTATCTACAGGAATGTGTGTGACCATATTTTCTAACTAAAAAACATTTTTATTTGGAAATTTCTAATAAGCTAATATTTGTAGTGTTTCTCGTTTCCTTTTTTATTTATTTCTACTTTGAGCAGTGAATTTTTCTTCTCATTCACACTATTGCTTTAATTATTTCATGCTAGTTTACATAGATTTTGTATATTAGATGCTATGGTAGATTTATCATTTATATGATGCTACAACTATTCCTTTTAACATCTTTTCTTTTTTCCTTACTACTTTTAGTTTTTCTTCTGAGTGTAGATTATGGTGCCATAAATATATATAAATTTATAGTAGTTTATTTATTTATTTATTCGGTTGTTGAATATAGAAGTGATATACATGGTTTTGACACGAATTAAATAAAATTTGGTATTAGTAACAATCTTTATGTTTTCCCTCTTTTTATGCATACAATATAATATAATATAATAAAAGTTTTCATGATAATATTGCCTCTACGTTTCAAATTTTACTCAGCTATTAATATTATATTATAGCCAATAAATGTAAGAACAATTGAGGTGTGAGTCAAAATAGGAAGTTCACTAATTCTTCAGATGTCATTATTCTTGGCCAATAATTCAACTCAAACCAGAGTTTATATTATGCTACATTGGGTCAAATATATTGAGTATATTTTTATCAATTATAATTTATGAGCACACATAAAACAAATACATTTACATTAGTATGTGTACATTAACGCAAAAGTTTATCCGATATAATTTTCACTAGGTGCAAAAGAGATTTGTTAAAAGAATTTATAGATATGTTTAATAAAGTATTATTGTAGTCAACTCTATAAATAATAATCAAAGACCGATTTGTGGGCTAGGATTTGCTAGGTGAACATGTCGCAGGAAAAAGAAAAAGAAAAAGAAAAAGACAAAGGGCAATTTGGGACTTCACACCGTCTGATACGCATAATAGCAGTGTAAAATTAAAAAAAAAAAAATTAATTAATGTAACAGTAACACACATAACAATAATAATTATAATAAGAAATATACTATCAACTCCTAAGTATGCTCAAATAACCAAAAAAACCATTATGTTTGAAATAATTACAACTACTCCTCAATTATGAATCTTTTTACAGGTCCACCCTTACGATATCAAATTCAACAGAATCTTCTAGATTTCGTGGAATGTTCTTTAGTTTCTACTCGTTTCGTACAAAAATGCAGTTTTTTATGCACCGAAATCTGATATATACAAGGCAAAAAACATATCTTATGATCATTTTGCTTCAAAATGTGGAGCTCGAATGGGATAAAACGGGTACGAAATTGAAAATATTCCATATAATCTAAAAGATTCCATTAAATTTGACACCGCAAGGATGGACGTGTAAGAAGATTTATAGTTGAATGGTGGTTGTAATTATCCAAACATGAGGCGATTTTTCATAATTTAACCATACCTCAAGGGGTGGTATAATAAAAACTATTAGTGACATGTAAATTATACTATTCATACAAACACACTCGACAAAATATTATGTAAACTTAATTGTGATGATACGAAATTGACCATTAAATAAATAAAGCAAATAATAAAGAAAATATGATCAATAATAAAAAAATACCATTAAGAAAAAAAGCGGAAAATCGTTCCATTGAAAATAAGAAAAAAAATAATAACTAAAAAATTAGTAGAAAAATAAAAAAATAAGATAAAAAGGAAAGAAAAAAGTAATTAGAAAATTAGTAGATAAAATAAGTTTCATTGAGATAAAGAAAAAGGAAAAATAAAAATGAACAATTAAAAAGTTATTAGAAAAAAAATAAATGAAAAAAATAATAATTACACAAATACCTTAGAGTTGTTTGGGGTTGTCTTAGCGTTAACTGCATTTATATGTAAGATTAAGAATAGTGGGACACATGAAGCGCTAAGAAATAAATAAATAATTAAAGCCTAATATGATTATTAGTCCTCCGAACATTCATTTTATCTCACTTTGATCCCTCTTCTTTTAGATATATCATAATAGTCCCATATATCGAAATCATCTCAAAGTGGTGTGTTTTTAAATATTTTGTTGAATGCTAACAATATTAGATAACATTGTAGTCCCTTATTTATAAATTTTGTACTATTTTATCTCCTTTTTAATTAAATGTATCATAATTGTTCTTCATATACTAAAATCTTCTCAAAGTGGTCCACTTATAAATATTCCATTGACCACTTTGAGATAACATTGGTACGTGTTAATCTATTATGATGGACTCGGGTAAAATAAAATATAAAATTGAGGGACTACAATGAAATGCTTGACCACATTGGTGTTATATATTTTTAGAATATAAGGGACTATTATGATACATATAGAAAGGTAAAGGATTAATGTTTGACAAAGCATATACTTGAAGGACTGTAAACAAGAATTGACCAATAAATAATTAGTGCAGCTGCCCAATCTTAATCGACCGGTCGCACGCTTCTCTCATTCGTCCACGTTTTTCTCTCTTGTTATTTTATTTTTAATTTAATTTGCCTAGTCATTTTATTACTATGCTGAAATTTAATATATTTAAAAATTATATTGTTTCACAAAAAAGAAAAAGAAAAAAAATCCTTCTGCAATGTTGTTATCAAGTTATTTGAAAATTATATTTTCTTTTAAAGATTTCTATAAAATATTTTCACCAATTATAATAAAAGATCCATCAATTTATAATTTAGTGAGAAAAGTTTGATTTATTTTATTTTCATAAGAAAATATAGTTTTTCAGTAATTCAATGTGATTTTTGTTTTTTCGCAAGTTGTACGCTCGAAATTAGGTTCGAGGTTGACGCAGGACGGAAGCACGTAAATAATTAATTTCTACGAATTAATCCTATAGAACAAAATAACATTCGGAATCCACCGAAAACTCTGGAATCCACCAGAAAAATAGAGAAAACTCTAAAGATTTTATTAAAATTCGAAATTCTTCCAAAATAAAGTCCTAAGGCATCTATTTATACTAAAAAACTGAAAACCCTAATTAAAATAAGAAAATACTAAAAATTACCAAAAACGGCAAAAACGAGTTAGAGTCTGATTCTAGATCTCGTAATTTTGGGAACAATCCAATTTACGGAATCCTAATCCGATTTTTCTATGATTTGATATTAATTTTCTAAAACTTACCTAAAATAGCAAAAACGAACTTTTGGAAGTCTAAACGACCTTGGATTGCTGAAATTTGACGTGATTCATGAGCTTTGCTCATGAGTTTTGTTCCTTACGCCGTTTTACTTGAGATAGAGTTCGTTTCATACTCAACTACGATTTAAGTTCGTCGAAAACCTTTATTTTCCCATAATTTCTTTCGATATTTCCACCAATGCCATTAATAACTCTTCTCCGAATTAAATAGTTATTTTGCAACACAAATCCAATTTGACGTTCCTTATCAGATGTTGAAGAAAGTGACCATTTAATTTGTTATTTTGCACTACACAATAAAGAAAAATCAATAAAAAAAAAAATGAAATTGCCCTCATTAAGTTTTAAATGATCAATTCGAGATGAGCTGTGAATATTTTTTTGTGTTTCGATTGTGCAAATGGCTATTAACTTTTCTCAATGGTGCAAAGGGTCAAAATATATGTTTTACGGGTGTACAATGGAAATTAACCCAGTTTTTAAACAAACTAGTAAAAAAAAATAAACTCTCCCCTGCCGGGGCCGAACCTTAATCCCCCAAAAAAAAAAACCCTTAAAAAAAAAATATAAAAAAAGCCCCGGGGGTTTGTTTTTTTATTTGGCACACAAAAAATTTTTTTTAGGG